TAAGAGGTATTTTTATTGCTTTAAATTGTTTTTTATATTTTTTATAACCCTTTATCTCTTCTGTTGGTCAACGTGGCTACTTAGCTTACAAAGAACCTGAAACCAGGCTAGCTGTAGATTGTCCGAGATAAAGTTGATTTATTCTTATCATTTTTATGGTTTTAAGAATTTTTTACTTTTTTGGTCTGTTGTATGATTACCCTATTCCAATGCATCAATACAAATGCAGCAAACAAATGCACATACAATTTACTCATCCACGAGTAGAGTCACACTTATTTAATCACGAGGTAGTGTTTTCCTGCAGAAACGTGTTTGGTTAAGGTGGTTCTAAACTGTTCTCACCATGGCCAAAGGTCCCCAAGGTGCCCCCATTATAGGGACCTCTCAATCTCTCAGTCTTCGGATAATGCACAGAACTTTGTGTCGACATCCTTGGACCAAAAGAAGAGAGTTATCACCTTGAGTTGGTGGTTTTTCGACAACGGTTGTAGCCCCGTGTGGCAACAAGCCGGTTGTATCTGCCACCCACTCCCTATAGGTATTCACTCTTGCCCCCGAGTATAGAGGGACTGTAATGTGCAAGGGTTTTTGTGTACAGTTTATATTTCAAACAATTTGTAGAAAATAATCATACAGTAGTTATTAAAGCCATACAATAAATCATACAAAGAAAAGTAAAGGCGTAATTTCAAATCTTTACTTAGTTTGAATTTATCCGTCACTAAATGGGATCAACTCTCTAGCTTCCCCAACGGAGTCGCCATCTGTCGCCGCCATCTGTTCCGACGTCTAGGGACATCTCGAACGTTTATGCGAGTGGTCGCAAAAAGATGGGTTACACTCGCGTTTATTTAAAATTGTGATCATTGCTCCCAAGGTTCTCAACAACTGAACTATCCTCTAATAAAAGCAAGGTTTTTGCAAAAAGGTTCTTATGGAGTCCCCACCAATGTTTTGACCATAAACATTGGAAAAGGATAAAAAGGCGTTGATTTTAAGAAAAACCAAACTTGGCCATTATAACCAGAGTTAGGTAAGGGAGTTAGTTACGCGTGGGGAAGGTGTTAGCACCCCCACGATGCCCCTTTCGGGTTCCTTATGACGGATTAATTCATAAAGTAAAGATTAAGAGAAATTATGCTATTACCCTATTTTATTATACAATATTAAAAAATAGCTATCTACATGATTCTATTTTCTATTGCATACATAAAGCAGTAAATAAAGCAATAAAAGAGAAGAGAAGTGAAAAGAACCTTCGTCGCAAGCTTTTATTACAAATCTTCAACTATGAGGATGCGTTTTGGCAATCCTCCCGCACTACAAAGACTCTCCTCCCCGAATACGGAACCGACACTACAAAAATTTTAAGAAGAATCGAATGCCGGAAGAAACTTCCTTAACCGATTGTTACCTTATAGGAAATCAGAGAGATCATTCGAAAGAGGGAGAAAAGAGAGGAGTGAGGTGTGTGAAAAAACGTCATCTAAGGTCCCTATTTATAGTTTTTTCAGCCAACAAGCTTGAGACGACCATCTGGGGTCAAGAAATTAGGGACTACGGTCTGAGAAGCTTGGGACGGCCGTCTAAGAATTGGGACGACCGTCTCAGATGATTTATTTGGGTGAGACACGCGTCTCACATGTGGGACGTGCGTCTGGCCTATCTAGGACGGCTGTCCTGCTTTCTGGGACGACTGTCTCGAGTGTTTTGGCCAAATTTTGTGTTCTGGGACTCTAGGGAAGCTTTCCTTTCTTCAGACGGAAGCCGGTTGATGCCGATGGACGTCCACCGAAGCTTTACCCACCTTCAGAGAGAAAGTCTTCTGGTCTTTATTGAGAGGCTGGGCAAAATTAGGGGTCTACAGTTACCTTATAGGCAATCAGAGAGATCATTCAAAAGAGGGAGAGAAGAGAAGAGTGAGGTGTGTGAAAAAACGTCACCTAAGGTCCCTATTTATAGTTTTTTAAGCCAGAAAACTTGGGACGGCTGTCTCAGGCCCAGAAAACTTGGGACGACCGTCTCAGGCCCAGAAAACAGGGACAATGGTCCCAAAATGCTTGGGACGGTCGTTTGGAAGTTGGGACGGCCGTCTCAAGCCATTTTTTGGGTTGAGACGCGCGTCCCACATCTGGGACATGCGTGTCAGCCTATTTGGGACGGCTGTATCGATTCTGGGACGGCTGTCTCGAGTGTTCTGGTCAAATTTTGTATTCTGGGACTTCAGGGAAGCCTTCCTTTCTTCAGACGGAAGCCGGTTGATGCTGATGGACGTCCACTGAAGCTTTACCCACCTTTAGAGAGGAAGTCTTATGGTCTTTATTTGAGAGGCCGGGTAAAATTAGGGGTCTACAACTGCCCCCCCTTCACCTGCCTAACTAATTGTTGGCCTAGTGTGCCCACAAGATTAGTTGGTAGGTGGAGTTAACCCTTTTGCCCAGTCATCCTTCGGATGCTCCTTTGCTGAGTTGCTGATCCTCTAGATGATAAATATTTTTGATAGGTACCAACCCCTATCTGGTTTGATGAGAATGAAACCCCACCTGGTCCGAACCTCCTTCTATAAGGCTCTTGTAAGTACAAACCCACACCAGGTTCGAGTTCACATTTGCTAAACTATTGTGAGTACTTACCCTCACTAGGTACGAGCCTGCATTTGCTAAGCTCTTGTGGGCACCTACCCCCACCAGGTACGAATCCGCATTTGCTAGACTCTTGTGAGTACTTACCCTCACCAGGTACGAATCTGCATTTGCTAGATTCTTGTGGGTACCTACCCCCACCAGGTATGAGCCTACGTTTGCTAAGCTCTTGTGGGTACCTACCCTCACCAGGTACGATCCCGCCTTTGCTAAGTTCTTGTGGGTACCTACCTCCACCAGGTACGAATCTGCATTTGCTAGATTCTTGTGAGTACTTACCCTCACCAGGTACGAGTCCGCATTCACTAAACTCTTGCGGGTACCTACCCCCACCAGGTATGAGTCCGCATTTGCTAAACTCTTGACGAGCCCCATTCTGTAAGGCTTTTGTGGGTACCTACTGATGTGACTGATTTTCAGCACATATTAAGTAGTTAATAATGTTATAATATTGTTTATATTATCTTAATAAGGCTTAATTAACTATAATTTGTATTAGTAGGCCTTTAGAAGCCTTAACATAAAATTATGCATAAAAAAAATAAATTAGTTGTATTTTATTGTATACGGGTATTGATATTGGTTCACTGTTTTATTTATCATTTTTTCTACAGAGCTCCTAATGTTAGAATCGCGCAGCGGAATGTTTGCGTTTCGGACAAAAACCAAGAGGGGGGGGGGGGTGAATTGGTTTCTTAACAAAAATTAGGGTTTTAAAATTTTTCCCAAATTTCACCGATTAAATTGTTGTGTAAAGTAAATAGAGCAAGGATTGAGTCTTACACAAATGATTTATACTAGTTTGGATCAAAAGATCCTACGTCCAGTTGCTAATCACTTAAACAGAGGATTAACACTGTCACTATAATCACGGTTATACAATCAGATTACAAATAAGAAGATACGGTAAAGAATACACCTCTCTTGAGTCACACAAGAGATGAAGAACAACTTTACCTAGAGACGACACAACACACAATCCACCAAGAAAACCCACTTAGTGATTCTTATCGCTTCTAGCCCACACTAGGTTCCAAGAGCCCCTTATTCCTCCAACAAACAGTTCTCTGGCAGTCACAGCTCTCAAATTTTGTTTTGAAAAAGGTTGTTCCCTTTGCAGAGAGCCTTAGAGAACCTTAAGTAGACGGATTAAGGTTTAGGAATTGGGATTTTCGAAACCTGGTGAATTGGGAATAGGGCTTTCGAAACTTGGTCCAATTTTGAAATTCAAAACACATATCTGACTGAAATAATTGATTATCTTGAGTGTTAATCGATTATTACAAAGCCAAATTCACCTGGAACCCAAATCCACGCAGTTTAATCAATTATCTGAGCAATTAATCGATTAACAGCCCTGTTAATCGATTAATAGGGGCTTTAATCAATTATTCCAGAGAGCTAATAGAGAAAATGGTTTTTCTCTCTGTAATAATCGATTATCCTGCCATTTAATCGATTAATCCAGTATGTTTTTGATAAAAATGAGTTTTTAGAATCTTTAAAGAGTAGACTATGTGCTAGCTATCTTAGACTCTAATATTACAGATTCAAAATCATAAAAATAGAATTATTACATAACATTACAAGTCTTCAAATCTTTAAGTCCTTTGTTCTTGAATCATCATCAAAATCTACAAGCTTCATAACCATGTATGTTCAACATTCATATCCTTGTATGTTTCAACAATCTCCCCCTTTTTATGATGATCAAAATTTCCTTTAAAGCCCTTGTAATAACCTGTTTTGTCTGTCACAGCTAAACAAAAACATTAAACATACTAGACAACATTTAAATTTAATAAATATAAGAAACAAAAGAGGCTTTAGATAATTTCTTCCCCTATTTTGATTATGATCAAAAAATGAAAGCTCCCCCTCAATAGATGCATAATTTATAAATGAGTTCCCCTCAAACAAAGCAAAAAATACAAATTTTATTTCATAAAGTAAAGTCATTACAAAGAGATATGTGGAAGAGATTAAAACTCTTCACTTGCATCCCTATTGAACTGAGCATCAAACCTATCCTCTAGGTTACAGACCCTATCATCTACATCGGAGATACGACGAATGATTTCCTCATGCCGTTCTTGAGAAATTGTGAAGAATTCTTGCATTCTTTGATTCATATCAAAGAGCATATCTTCCATTGATTGTCGGGATGTAGAAGGGGCAGAAGATGTTCTAGCATTATGAATATTGTAGACCCCTAATTTTGCACGACTTCCAAAGGAAAGCTTCCTGGGTCCTAACCCAAAAACTCAGCAAAACAGGCTTCAGACCCCCGAGAGTCTTGTACCCTTGCCCCAACTAACCTGAGGCAAGCTGAGACGGCGCTGCCCACATGTGGGAATGGTCGCCCAAGTTCTCAGGGTCGGGCTCTGGATGTCTAAAGTGGAATCGCCGCCCGCTGAACGGCCGTCGGAGTATGTGCCAGGCAGCGAAAACTA